ACAAATGGCCCCCAACTAAACACTGCTTACACTTAATGTTTTTGACTTATGGTGTAAAAGGGATACACATTCAGTAGAAAGTGTACTTTGAATTTTGATCTTTTTCCATTCCAGCTATATATGGCAAAACACAGTCTAGTGAGAGAGGACAAGAGAAGAAAGAGAATGAGGCAGAGAACCTATTTGAAAAACTAAGTGGCTGCAGTTTTCCAAAATCTGAGGAACAAATTCCAGAAGCTCAAAGAACTCCAACCTGGAGAAATCTAAAGAGACCTGCACCAAGACACATCATAATCAAGATATCAAAATTCATTTAAAAATCTCAAAAGCAGAAAGAGAAAACCTACACATCATATGGAAGTGAGCTGCTGTTATATTATCAGCTGATTTCTCACTGAAAGCTTTCAGGTTAAAATAAAATGAAATGGGGGCCGGCATGGTGTTGTAGTGGGTTAAACTGCTGTCTGTGATGCCAGCATACCAGATAAGTGCCAGTTCAAGACCTGGTTACTTCACTTATGATCCATCTCCTTGCTGACCCGCCTGGGAAAGCATCAGAGGATGGTACAAGTCCTTGGGCCCCTGCACCACGTGGGAAACTCAGAGGAAGATCCAGGCTTTGGTTTGTACAGCCCTGGCCATTGTGGCTATTTGAGGAGCGAATTAGCAAATGGAAGATCTCTCTCCCTCTGTCCCCTTCCCTTCCCTCCCCTCCCCTTCTCTTCTTTTCTCTCTCTCTCTGCCTTTCAAAAATAAATAAAAATAATAATAAAAAAGAAGTGGGATGCTATATGAAATGTTCTGAAAGAAAAAAACAGGCAACCAGGAATACTATATTGGCAAAATTCCTTCAAAAAAGGGAGAAACTAAGATTATCTCAGATAAAATCTTAGAGAGTTCATCACGACTAGAGTTGCCCAACAAGAAATGCTGAATAGATTACAGAAAGTTGAGGCCAAAGGATAATAACATAAAGATCATACAAAAATCATATAATTCCCTTCTATGGATAAATATACAAATCCATAATTCTGTAATATTGTATATGTGTAAATCACTTTTAAATTTAGATTTATTCAAATGGCAAAGGAAGTAGAGACTTTAAAAAGCATAAAAGTAATTGTAATATTGTACCTATAGACAACAATAATATATTCTTAAAAATTTGTTAATAGAGCTCTATTAAACATTTTTACAATACAAATAAATTTTTAAAAAATTTTAAATGTATAGTTTCATTTTCAATATACAATTTTGTTATCAATAAAGGTGTAAATGAGTTTATACATGATTGAAGCTACGTTGTTATCAGTTTAAAATATATTGTTATAACTGTAAGATGCATTGTGTAGGGGCTGGTATTGTGGCATAGCGGGTAATGCCACTGCTTGTGATCAGGTATCCCATAGGAGTGCTGGTTCAATTCCCAGGTATTCCACTTGTGAGCTAGCTCCCTGCTAATGCCATGGGAAAGGCGGCAGAAGATGGCCCAGGTGCTTGAGCCCCTGCTGTCCACATAGGAGATCGGAAAGAAACTCCTGGTTCCTGGCTTTGGCCCAGCCCTGCCCTGGTGGTTGTGGCCATCTGGGGAGTGAACCAATAGACGAAAGCCCTCTCTTTCTTGCTCTGTCTCTCTCTCTCTCTCTTTCAAAAGAAATATTTTAAAAAATGCTTTGTAAAATAATAAAAATGATAATCCTTATAGACTACATACAAAGGTAAAGAAGAAGGAAATCAAAAATATCACTACAAAAAAAAAAAAACAGCAAAACACAAAAGAAGGAGACAAGGAAAGAGGGTCAAAAAGGGCAACAAGACAATGAAATGACAATAGAAATCCTTCTCCATCAGTAATTGCTGTAAATGGATTAAATGTGGCAATTAAAAGATGCAGATTAGGTGAATGGATAAAGAAGATCTATCTGCTTCCTACAACACTCTTTAGAGCTGAGGACATAGGCTAAAAGTGAAAGTGGGAAGATAGCCCGTGGAAATGGGACTCCAAGAGCAGCGGTGCTATGCGTATATTGGAATAGACTTTAAGAACAAAACTGACATAGTAAAAGGCCAGTGAGCAAACAATTATAAATATGTATGTGCCTAACAGAGCACCCAAATACACGAAGGAAATATAGATAGAACTGGAGGGGGAAATGAACAAATACACAATAAGAAACTTTAGTTTTCTACTCTGTTACAAATAGAACAGCCAGACACAATTTCAATAAGGAAGCAAAGGACTTGAATGCTATAGAACAAGTGGACCTAACAAATATAAAGTACCCCACCCAACAACAGGATAAACATGCTTATCAAGTGTACATGGCATATTGTCTAAGCACATATTGGACCCCAAAACAAATCTTAACAAATTTAAGAAAATGGAAATCATACAAAGTATCTTCTCTCACCACTAAATATAAACAGGTCAAAGAAGAAATAATCGGAAATGTGGAAAAAAATTTGGAGACAAAATAAAAACATGTCAAAACATACAGGATGCAGCAAAAGCAGTACAAAGAGGGAAATAAATGTGTACATTAAAAAGTAAACTAAATTTAGATCTCAAAAAACTGGAAAAATAAAAGCAAAGGTAAGTAAAATGAATAGAAAAAACAAAACCAGAAGTTGTTTTGTGAAAATACCAACAAACTTTGCAAACTCTTAGACTAAGAAAGAAGACTCAATTGAAAGTGGAAATAAAAGAGGAAACATTATAAAAAGAATTATAAAAAGATGTTACTAAACAATTGTTGATAAATTGAATAACCTAGAAGAAATATATAAATAATTAGAAACATAATAGCCTACCAGTACTAAATCTTGAAAGACTAGAAATCTGGACAGATCATAACTAGTGTGGATATAGAAACAATAGTTAAAAGCTTCCCCACAAAGAAAAATCCAGGACCTGACAATTTCACTGGAGAATTCTTCCAAACATTTCAAGAACTTACAATCTCTTCAAATTCTGAAGAATTAAAGAGAGAACACTCCCAAACTCATTCAATGAAGCTAGCATTATTCTGATACCAAAACCAGACAAAAGTTCAAAAGAAAACAAAAGGCCAAAGTCCTTGATGAATATTGATGTTAGAAAGCCCAAAGTACTATAAGCAAACCAAATTCATTGGCACACTGAAAGAATCACACTCTATGACCACTTGGAACTTCTATTTGGACTACAAAGATGGTTCAGTATATAAAAATTAGTGTGTAATACACCACATTGACAAAGGACAGAAACCAAGTGTTCATCCTGATACAAAAAAAATAATTTGATAAAATTCAATACTATTTGATAATAAAACATCCTATAGATTAGGAGTATAAGGGAACCAGCTGAACATAATAAAAACCATTTATGTAAGGTCAATGGCTAATATCATACTCAAACTGTAAAAACAAAGTTTCTCCCCTGTCAGGAGCAAGGCAAGGCTGCTCACTCTCACCACTTCTATACAACACAGTATTAGAAGTTGTAGCCAGAGAAGTTAGATAGGAAAAATAAGTGGTACTCAAATGGAAAAGGAAATAAATTCTCTCTGTTATAGTTGATGTGTCATCTTATATATAGGAAATGTAAAGATCTCACAAAAAGATCTATTATAACTAATAAACACGCAAGATACAAAACCAACACATGAAAGCTGCATTTCTATGCAATAACAGTGACCAATTCCAAAAGGAGACGATCCTATTTGCATAGCATCAAAAAGGAGAAAACATTTAGGAATGAATTTAACTAAGAAAGTAAAAGACTTGTACACTGCAAACTATGAAACATGGCTAAAATAAAGAAGATAAGAATAAAGTAAAAACACACTATGCTCATGGACTGAAAAATTTCTATTGTTTAAATATAAAGCAGATTACAGATTCAGTGTAATCCCTATCAAAATACCAATGGAATATTCTGCAAAAATAGAAAAAATCCTAATGTTATATATAATACCAAGAGACCTGTAATATCTAAAACAATGTTTAAAAGGTAAAACAGGCCAGTGCTGTGGCTCACTTGGCTAATCCTCCGCCTGCGGCGCCGGCACCCCAGGTTCTAGTCCCGATTCGGGTGCCGGTTCTGTCCCGGTTGCTCCTCTTCCAGTCCAGCTTTCTGCTGTGGCCTGGGAAGGCAGTGGAGGATGGCCCAAGTGCTTGGGCCCTGCACCCACATGGGAGACCAAGAGGAAGCACCTGGCTCCTGGCTTTGGATCGGCGCAGCGTGCCTGTCGTAGCAGCCATTTGGGGGGTGAACCAACGGAAGGAAGACCTTTCTGTCTCTCTCTTTCTCTCTGTCTCACTGTCTAACTCTGCCTGTCAAAAAAATAAATAAATGAAAATAAAAAGGAAAAACAAAGAGGCCTCACACTTTCTGATTTCAAAACATACTACAGAGTAAAAGTATTAAGATAGTTTGGTATTTGCTTAAAGAAAGTTACATCAATAAAGAAACAAAATAGAGAGTTCAGAAATAATCTCTTGCATATATGGACAAATAACTATAAAATAGGGAAAAGACAGTCTCTTCAGCAAGTGGTGTTGGGAAGAATGGATATTCTCATACAAAAGAACGAAGTTTATTCCCTTATAGTAAATATAAAAATTAAAACAGACTAAAAATGTAAGCCAGTATTATTATTTTCATATAATAAAATATTGGGCAAAAACCTCAGAACATTAGATCAGCAATGAGTTCTTGGGTATGACACCAAAAGCACAAGCAACAAAATAAAAAATAGACAAATGGAAGTGGATCAAACTTAAAACTTGCACATCAAAGAAAACAATGAAAAGACAACCTATGGAATGGAAGAAAATAATTTCAGGTCGTATATCTGGTAGGGGTTAACATGCAGAGTATATTAGGAACTTCTTTGGCTCAACAATAACAACAGACAAATAACACAACTAAAATTAGACAGCAGATTTGAATAAACAGTTCTCCAATGATGTACAAATAGAAAATAGGCACATGAAAATAATGGTCAAATCACTAATTATTAGACAAAGGTAATCAAAACCACACTGAGATATGTCATACTCACCATGATGGTTATTAACAAAATAATAGAAAATAAGTTTTAGGAAACTTGGATCCTTTGTGATTTGTCAGTGAGCATGTGAAATTGTGTAGTCATTTTGGAAAGCAGCATGGAGTGTCCTCAAAAAAAAAAAAAAAGGAAATAGGGAAGGCATTTGGGCTAGCAAATAAGATGGAACACCCACTGTTGCCAGCGGCCATCTTGGCATGGTCTTCTCATTCCACCACATTTCCCTCTTTTCGTTTATTTTTGACCAACAGGAGGCATGATTCTGGCGCTCCAATGTGACTGAGGGAGAGAAACAGCATGTCGGACTTGGCAAGGTCCCCCCTGGATTTCAGCAAGTAGGCCCCTCAGTGTTTTGTGTGCTGTTTGGTTCTGTGAGGGTGAGCACAGAACCCCCTCCTATGCCCCTTTCCTTGTCCTTGTCCTCAGTCTAAGTGACCCCAGGTTAGCACACACCACCCAGAAGCGTACGTCGCTTCTCAGCTCCTCCTTTTACTTTTGGTTCGTCTGGTGAATTCATATAAGGGACTGATCATCCCAGAATTCAGAACCAAGTCATCTTCCCTCACTGAGAGAGGTGACGCTCTGGAGACACTGTGTGGGCATACAGCCTTGACCTAATGAATCAAGGAAGTCCCCTACTAAGCACAGGAAATACGTATGGCCTGATACGCCACTGTCTATTTGTCTAACGTAGGGAACCCCCTGCAGAATGCCATCAGCCGCTGAGATGCTAGGAATTTGCTTTGTTATGGCAGCCGTGCTGTGGGTGTCTCCTTTGGCTAGAGTTGGTGTGGCGCACTGCTGTTAAGTGCTCAAACATGGGAAAGATACTCCCCTCTCGGAATTCCATGCAGATTACCAAACATAGTGAATCTGTGAGTGATAAGAGCCTGACACTCTAGGTCCCTGTCTCACAGACAACAGTTGATGACTTAGGGAGAGAGAGCTCCCACAGTGACAATGACATGACAGCAGACAAGGTAGCAATGTCTGGTCAGCCACCCCCACATACTTGTGGGATGAACTTAGATGCCCTCGAGGCAATAACCCATGTGAGGTCATCTCATCTGCACCCAGTGAGGATCCCCACATTTGTGGCAGTTCCCAGGCACCCCAGGCTTTCAGGGCAGCTGCTAGACCCCATCCCACCTGCATGTTTGCCGTTAATATAGGAGCGAATGCAGAATTCAGGCCCTGGATTCCAACGCCTATAAAAAGGCTTCTGCTAACCAAGGGTTGAGGATATGCTTGTGTCTTTTCAGAGAATGCAGGACAGCACATTTGGGTACCAGCCAGAAACATCAAGCCTGCAACTGACAGCCAACCAGAACCAGCTGAACAAGACTGAGAGCCCGCCTTGTTAGCGGATGCACCCTGAGGAACTGCCCACAGCCACATCCGTTACTGTTTTATACCCCACTAGCTCTAGTCAGCCACTCAAACGGTCCACAGCCTGTGTGCAGTCACGCCATTCCTGATTACAATTGTTCCTCATTCCTTCCCTCATCTGAGCAAGCACTCCTATGGTCTCCCATTTTGAACGTTGGTTAGTCAATGACAGGTAAGATCCCCTGGGGGACAACCTAAAACAGGCACAGCTGCGTACGGAGACCACATGGAAACGGGGTCAACAATGGTATGGCCAAGAATCATGCCTCCCGTTGCTCAAAAATAAATGAAAAGGAGGAAATGTGGTAGAATGAGAAGGCCATGCCAAGATGGCCACTGGCAACAGAAGCTGCCTGGCAACAGGCTGTGATTGGATGGCTTCGGAAACTGCCTGGCAACAGGGTGTGATTGGTTAGGGCATAGATCTCCCCTTGACTGGATTGGCTGCCTTGGCTATAAAAGCTGCTATAGCAACTGAAATAAACGAGTCTGCAGGCTGCTTGCCTCAGGCCTGCTTCACCCGACTCCCAGGGTCTGTGTGGTGACTCCGCGCCTCTTGCCCCCACCACGTTCTTCCTCCCAGAAACAAATCCACAGCAACAACCCACATCCCAAATAGTAATGCCTGGGTTTAAGTCCCAACTATGGTCCCAATTCCGGCTTCCAGCTAATATACACCCTGGGGAGTAGTAGGTAATGGCTTAAGTAGTTGGGTCCATGCCACCCATGTGGAAGACCCAGATTGAATTGCTGGCTTTTGTCTTTAGCGTGGCCCAACCCCACATATTATAGTAATTCGGGGAATGAGCCAGTGGGTGAGAGATCTCTGATGTCCATCTCTTTCAAAAAAATTTTTAAAAATTTAAGAAATAGAATTACCCTTGGTATCCAGCAATCCCACTTCTGAGTATATCTCCCCCCAAATTCAAAGAGAGATTTTCAGACCATATTTGTTACAGCATTATTCACAATAACCAAAAAAAATGCAACAACCCAATTATCCAGCAGCAGATAATAGATGAAGAAAAAGTGGTGCATACATGCAGTGAAATATTATGCAGTATCCTTTCTCATATTGCCACATGGATGAAGACTGAAGACATGCTAAGTGAAGTAAGACAGCCATAAAAGTGTAGGTACTGTATGATTCCACTCATGAAATATCCTAGTAATCAAAATCATTGAAGCAAAGTATAAAGGTACTTGCTAAAGGTTAGGGGGAGCCAGAGGAAGAATTTGTTTTTAGTGGGTACAGAGTTTTGGTGTTTAAGATGAAAGAATTCCAGAGATCTGTTGTACAACAATGTGAATGTAATAAACACTATTGAAAGTACATTTAGGGGCCAGCGCCATGGCTCACTTGGTTAATCCTTTACCTGCGGCGCCGGCATACTATATGGGCACCAGTTTTAGTCCCTTTTGCTCCTCTTCCAGGCCAGCTCTCTGCTGTGGCCCGGGAGGGCAGTGGAGGATGGCCCAGGTGTTTGGGCCTTGCACCCGCATGGGAGACCAGGAGGAAGCACCTGCCTGGCCGTAGCGGCCATTTGGGGAGTGAACCAACGGAAGGAAGACCTTTCTCTCTGTCTATAATTCTACCTGTCAAATAAAAAAATTATAAAAAATTTTTAAAAAAGAAAGTACATTTAAAAAGAATTGATGGTAAGTTTAGTGTTATATAAGTTTTTACAAAATCATAAACATTTTAAATTCTTTTTAAAAGAAAGAGAAAGCTAGAATATGATGCAGAGTTTATTCTATCAGGAAATATGGTATTAGGTGGCTCAATAAGGTATTTCTAGGAGGCAGGAGGAACAAAGCAGGCCTAGTGTTATGGGTAATGAAGCAGTAAGTCATTTTTGTCACCTAGAAGAGGGAATTGTTTGGTTAATTTTGTCAGAGCAAAATATTTCTGTCTCTGTGTTCAGACATAATTATGGATGGTCTTATTTGTCTCTTGTATCTACCCTCATGATAGTAGAATGGCGTTGTCTGATTGTTGATATTATCTGAAAATTGTTTATGTTCAGTTGGGAGCTCCTTGGCCTAGATTTTGCCTGGCAACTGTCACGGTCTTTTTTTTTTTTTTTTTTTCTCAGTTGCCTGTTCTAGACTAGGGCAAATAAAGTTAGTCTTCGACACATTAAGCTGTGTGATCCAGTCTTCATCATTGTCAAGATTTCGTTGATAAGGTCAGAGAGTGCTGTCTATAGTTGCACTGTATTTAGTTCCCATGTTTGCTTTCTTGCAGAACAAGATGGCAAATTACTTGATGCACTGGTGTCCATAACTCTGTGAAAAAGGTAAGTTTCAGAATAAAGTGATTAATGGTCATTTTAATCCAGATAATTGCCAGAATAAAATGGTTTAGTTTTAGAATGGGTCATGAAGCTAAGAAAGCTAGATTACGAAGACTTAAATGATGAGATTTAAGGAAGTCCTTGTAAATTTTGAAAAAGTGACCCAAATTAATGTTTGTCCAAATGATGGATGTTATGATGAGAAAATTGAACTAGTCTAAAGGGCTTTTTCCTGACAAGACTTTCCTCTTATGTAAGGACCAATAACATTCCATAACATTCCAGACAAAGCAGATAGCAGAATGCTACATTAGAAGGCTAGGAGCTAGATTTAACAAATTTAACAATTTGACTATATTAAAAAGATTATAAACCAAAGGATAAACCTCATGGCAATGAACTCAACAAGAGAACTAGAATCCCTAATACTCTGAAACTTACTAGATCGTTATGGATGTGGTGGCCTCAAGCAGGCTGAGGCTCAAAGGATCTCAGATGTACTCACTACCATACCTAGCAAAGGGTATGTACACATTGCTAGTATTTAGTATGGCTTCATCTGTGGCAACAGGACTCTCAAATCTTGGAAGTAATTCCAGGAGAACTTCCATCTGTCAATGCTCAGTGCCTGAGGGAAACACCAGAAGTCAGGATTATTTTTTTTTTTTTGAGTGTTGACATATGGGTAATTCACTCTGTGAAAATTCATTGAGTTATATGATTTGTATGTTGAATTTCATTAAATACTAAAAAAAAAGAGAGAAAAAGAATAGGTAGAATAACTAGTTTGTGATAGTAAGGTAGTATATTTAAACCCAAATTTATTTGTCACCACATTAAACAAATAGAATGCATACTCCAATTTTTTTTTGTTTGGGGAATGTTCTCAGTGATTCTGAGCGTGTGTGAGTGTTAGATGGTAGGAGTGTATATAGGTGAGTGTGTGAGGTGGGTGAGCATGTCTATGAGTGTGAGTGTGAGTGTATACGTGAGCAAGTGTGTGGGTGTGTGAGTGTATGAGCATGGGTGCATACGAGTGTGGATGAGTATGTCTGTGAGTGTCTGTGAGCGAGTGTGCAGGTGATAATGTGAGACTGTGGGAGGGTGTCTAAGTGAGAATATCAAGATGTGAGCATGTGTGTGAGTCTGTGAATGTGTGCCTGTGCATGAGCGTGAGACTGTGAGAGCGTGCCTATGTGAGTATATGAAGAGGTGAGCGTGTGTGTGAGGCTGAGACTGTGAGAGTGTGTCTGTGTGAGTATATGAAGAGGTGAGCGTGTGTGTATGTGTGCCTGTGTGTGAGCATGTGTGTATGCCTGTGCGAGTGTGAGTGTGTCTGCATGAATATAAGAAGAGGTGAGCATGTGTGTGTTTGTGTGTGCCTGTGTCTGTGCGTGAGTGTGCAACTGTGAGTGTGTCTGTGTAGTATATGAAGAGGTGAGAATATGTGTGTGTGAATGTGAGTGTGTGCCTGTGCTGTGAGTGTGTTGTGGGTTATGAAGCTTGAATTTCCCGAGTGTTGGGAACTTAAAATTGAAGGACCAAACCCAGAAAACCTCTGTGGAAATGGTGCTAGGCCCCGGCATTTGGACGCTCACCGGTGATGGTCAGCGGTGACAGACATGGAGCAAGGCCAGACTGTGGCACTTTGGGTCTCTGCCCTGAAGTGCTGCAGGGTGCCCGCTCACTGTAAGTGTGGCTGTGGGCGAGTGAGGTCAGCCTGGCAGTGTTGCCACAGTTGGGGAGTTTGCTGGACCTCGTGTTAGGGTGCCCAGCTGTCTAGGCGTGGTGTTTAGAAGTTGAGTTTCTGACTTTAGAATGAGTGGAGGTGGTGGACCAATGGGAGGGACGGGGCCTGTGGGAGCCTGGCTGCGTGGGGAATGTCTCCAGGGCTATTGGTGACTTCCTGTCCCCAGGTCTGTAGGGCCACACATGGATCCCTGGTGGTCCGGCTCCTTCTCAGGGCTTATGTGCCCTTCGGTCGTCACCACGCCTCACACCTGTGAAGTGGGATTCTTCAGGGCTCTGGGTGGCTACCGGGGCAGTGGAGCAGTGAGGTGGCATGGAGTCAGCCCTCCCCCGAGGCTCACCCCCTCAGCCGCCCACACCCCACCTCACTCTGTCTTCAGGGCAAGTGCTGTCGCCTTGTGCTTTGCTCTGATCTTCGTGGTGCTGGCTGATAGCCAGTGCTGCCCACAGGTGCACAGGCTGATTAAAAGAGACAAATTTTAATATGTTAGGTTACAGAAAGAATGGAAGTAAATAATGGAAAAAGGTATTGCATGCAAAAATCAGCAAAAAGCTAGTATTTGTAGCAAACTAAATTTTAGAGCAAAAAGCATTATTAAGATAAAGGAGATATTTCATAATGATATGGTTCAGTTCACCAGGATGACATAAAAATTCTAACATTTCATGTGCCTAATAACATAAATTTAAATATATAAAGCAAATTTTACAGACTAAGAAGGGAAAAAAGACAAATATTCTAATTCTTGTGGGAGATTTCAACAAATTTCTCTAAATATTGATAAAAGACACAAGACACTTCTCTTTTATTACTAGTTTACTAAGACATTTTTGTTTTTGCTTCTTTTTAATCATCATGAACAAGTACTGGCTTTTATCTGCTTTGATTGCATTTAGTGAGAAATTTTTTCTTTTAAATTGTTAAAGTAGCGATTCTCTGAAGGGAGGAGAGAACTTCCACTTTGACTATGACGCTGTCGGAATAAGATTAAAGTCAGCGAACTCAAAAGGCTTCCATAGCCTTGGCAACTCATGACTAGAGCCTAGGGAGATTACTGACACCATAAACAAGAGTGTCAAATTGTTAAGTCAACAACAGGAGTCACTGTGTGCTTACTTCTCATGTGGGATCTGTCCTTAATGTGTTGTCCAATGTGAAGTAATGCTATAACTAGTACTGAAACAGTATTTTACACTTTGTGTTTCCGTGTGGGTGCAAACTGATGAAATCTTTACTTAATATATACTAAATCAATCTTCTTTATATAAAGATAATTGAAAATGAATCTTGATGTGAATGGAACGGGAGAGGGAGCGGGACATGGGAGGGGGCGAGTGGGAGGGAAATTATTAAGGGGGAAAAGCCATTGTAATCCATAAACTGTACTTTGGAAATTTATATTTACTAAATAAAAGTTAAAAAAATAAAGTAGTGATTTGTATCCATTTTGATTTTTAGAATTTAAATATACCTGTAATTGTACATATTTATGGGTAAAATGTGGTATGTTGATACACGCATCTGTTGTGTAATGATGAAATCAGGGCAATTAGCCTATTACCTCATACACTTATCATTTCTTTGTGATTTTTAAATGTTGCATCATCTCTGAATAAAATCCATTATCTTGGTTTTGTTTTGCTGATAATTAATGCAGTTTTATCCATGTTCATGAGAGAGTTTAGTCTTTAATTTTCTGCTTTTAGAATGTCTTAGTCAAATCTGGTATCAAGGTTATGCTGACTACTGGAAGCAAAGTCACAATGTGCGTAGTAAAATTAGAGGCTCCAGGTGATGTTACCTTTCTCCAGAATGGATTCACTCTCAGCGCTAGATAGAGTGGAGATTGGTCACTTGAATCCATTCATGAAATAAGATGAGTCAGGTTAGTTTGTGGGTTTGATGAGGTTCTTTCTACCTCTGGTCCCGTTTCCTCCAAGATTGCCAACTAAGTGCTCAGTGTGGTCTCTCTGTCACTTCTTGAACCTTTGTCTTAGAATCCTTTACTAGAGAGAGAGAGAGAGAGAGGGAGAGAGAGACCTGGGGCATTTGGGAGGAACAAGAATAATTATGGACCAGATGGCAGACTGTGTATATTGCATTATTGGCTCCAACTTTTCAACCCTGCTATATTTCTATACTTTGCCTTTGGACTTCGTAGTTACTAATACAAACAGTGGAGTATACTTCTCTACTTTGTTCTTTAAGTTTGACCTCATGTCTTGCTTTGGACAACAGGCAGAAATGATGGTAGGCCAGGTCCAAGCCTAGGCATTATTAAGAGGTCTTGTGTGTTTTATCTGCTCTCATGTACTTCTGACATAGACACTAAAACACACACAAAAACACACACACACAGCTTCTGGACCAGCTGCTGGTTCCAAGAAAAAGTCAAGAAATATATTAAACAGAAATGTCTTAACCAAGGTGCTTGGCCAAACTCAGCTTAGTGCAGCCCAATTGAGACTAAATGCGTACTATTATATACCAATGGGTTTTTCTTGACTGTTTATTATACATCAATAGGTAAACTTCATGACTCACTTATCCAGCTGCCATGGATTAGAACTTCGTCATGCCTTCCTGAGACTTTTGTAAAAGCCTTCTACCTAGGCTTTCTGTCTTCCACTAATCTTGTCTGTTGTGTGTGTTTGGTACTGTTGTCTCCATCAAAAGGCAAGTGTCTGCACCTGTGTAGGCATCTCTCACTGTTCCACACATCCAGTACTTGATATTCCAGCCATGGGTTCCAGAAAATTCTGTGATTTTTCATGGCTCAGGGCCATCACTTTCACTTTTCTCTGCATGGCCAATTCTATAAATCCTTCAGAACATATCTCACACCTCACTCATTTTGTAATGTTTTTCCTTGACCTAAAGGCATTCAAGCTTTCTGCTATGTACCCCCAAATTAGTTTCCTACTATTAGGAGAATTCTTGTTGTCTCTGAGTGTGTCTTTTCACTGGGATGAGGCTGTCTCTGAATTCACTCTGGCTGTGCAATGATGCTCTGACCTCTGTAGAGGTTCAATATCACCTCCTAGCTATCTGATTTAATCAATTATTGAATTATGTTGAATACCTGTGGGAATTTTATACATTATTAATTCAAGTGGTATACATATTTTCAATAAAATTGAACTTTTACTAACCATAATACTTGCTTCTTCACACACATAAGTAATAGCATTTAGAACAGTAGGATAAATTTATCAACATAGAAAAATGACAATAATGGTTGAAGATAGATGACATGTCCTTATGTAGATATTGTGGGTCCTATTCAAGTAAAATCTGACAACCAGCTCGCTTAAAATTAAAATGTCAAAAATCAATTATGCTTCATTTTGCATTCAGACAAATTGAACTTTTCAAAATGTATTTGAAGCACATCTTATGTCAGAAGACACATACTCTATTATTTGAATACTAGTGAAATGAGAAAACATTTTATTTCTCATTTTAAAAATAATTGTCAAACTAAACTTTTATCTGCCAAATGGGACTGAAGGATATCTGGATGTCTAAATATTGCTATAGTGCTTGAACTCTGAATAA